GAGGAATGGTGGGCGGACACACAGCACTCAGCCCTTTCAGTTCAGGGAAGGTAGTGCAGGCTGACTGGCCCTCGACTCAGAGAGAACATGATGCTGTTCACGGGGTAACTGGGAGTCCCCAGGCTCCCTGCTGCCTTCCTCGAGGTTTTACAGAGGGACAACAAACAGAGCCAACCCCCAAGCTCCGGACCCCACCATCCACAGTCTGTGTCTGTCCCCACTGTGGGGTTTTGTTTCTTCAATGGCCAAGTAGGGAGTTTAGACCAGGTTCAATCCTGGTTGTAAACGTTTTCTATTTCTGCTTAGTAAACACATTTCACTAAAGGATATTTGGAGGCCAGGTTGGAGGAAGCAGCTTCCTATCTTTCTGTGTATTTTACTGCGTATGAAAAAGGAAACACAAATGAGCTCCTGGTCTTGCTTGCCTTTCACAACAGAAGCCACAGGTGACTCTGACTCTCCATAGCAGGAGGTGGAATCAGTGACGAGACCAGGCCAGGGACCGGGGAACCAAACTGTGGCTATGAGTGTATGTGAACTTCAAACCTCCGATGTCTGGGTATAGTCCCTGGACTGCAGAATCTTTAAATGGCTATATAGTCTACATGTGTGATGCCAATCAGGCCTTTTAAAAGGGTGCCTTGAGGTGGGCATTTGGCCTGGAAGCAAAGGCACTTGTTAGGAAACCTATGTCTCACATCAGAGTTTCTGGGTTCAAAACCAGGCTCTGGCTCCCGCCTCCTGCTGTGACAGACCCTGGGATGCAGCAGTTCAAGTGGTTAGGTTCCTACCACCCTCACGGGAGACCTGGATTGAGTTCCCAGCTCAGTCTCAGCCGTTGTGAGCATTTCAGGAGTGAATGGGGGAAGGGGGGATTCCCTCACCTCATCTCCCCTCCCACCCCATTCTTTCTCTCATTCCCTCCACCCTTACTCCCCCTTCTCTCCCTCTGCCTCTTAAATAGAAAAACATACTTTTAAAAGTATCTTATTCTTATTAGACTCAAACCCTCCCCTAAGAAAACAGATCTGTCCTGGCCTCCCCAAGTGCATATGAGAACGTGAACATTCTTCATTTCCCCCATGGGTTTGGAGCACTAGATCCATGATCATCAACTTGTCTCTAACCAATGAAGAGTCTGCACTTCATGACACAGGTCAGACTCGGCTGGAATGAGTCCATAATGCCCCACAGCACACACACACAAACACACATGCTAGATGGTCTAACTGAGGCTGCCGATTATGAAGGGCCTGAGTTTTACCCTCCTTGCAAGCAAACAGAACATTTTAGCCTACCCCCATTTCTTGGATGCTGGAAGAAGACGTGAGACTACTGGGCCAGAGACAAAGGACCTCCCAGCTCCCAGTAGCAGCAGTAGCCAGAAGAGCAGCTTTTGCTCCCAAGGCCCCATTCCTCTAAGGCAGGAGAAGGGGGCTATGTGACACACCCGTGTTCTACATTTCACACGAAGAACCCCGGGCTTAGGGTACCCAAATCTCTTTTATACAAATATTTGTATTGTGGTAAAAGATACTTTAACACAAAATTCATCATTTAAGCCTGTCTTAAGTACACAATGACATGGTATCAAATGGTTTATGACAGGCAATAACCCAGCCTGAGCTTTGCAGGAGATGGTATCTTAGCATCCTGGAGGATAAGCACACCTGGCCTCTGCCCCAGAGCAGGGCTTCTCAGCCTCAGCACTGCTGGCACGTGTTGGGCTGGGGACAACTCTGTTGCGAGGATCATCAAGTGCAGCTCAAGTCAGACAGCAGCATCCCTGCACACTACCCCCAAGACGCCAGATGGCCTCTCTGTTACCACAGCCAGCAGGATCGCCAGAAATTGCCAACCCTCCCCTTGGAAGTAGATCACTCCCAGTTGAGGACGACTATTCCATAGGGAGCTAGTATCTCTCTCTCTCTTTTTTAAGGATTTAGTCATTTTATTTGAAAGGCAGAGTTACAGGGAGAGAGAGAGAGAGAGAGAGAGAGAGAGAAGAGAGAGAGAGGTCTTCCATCTGCTGGTTCACTCCCCAGATGGCCACAATGGCTGGAGCTGCGTTGATCCAAAGCCAGGAGACAGGAGCTTCTTCCAGGTCTCCCATGCAGGTGCAGGGCCCAAAGATTTGGGTCATCTTCCACTACTTTCCCAGGCCATAGCAGAGAGCTGGATCGAAAGTGGAGCAGCCGCAACATGAACTGACGCCCATATGGGATGCCAGCACTGCAGGCAGCGGCTTTACTGGCTATGCCACAGTACTGGCCCCACTAGTATCTCTTTCAATGCCATTCACTATACACACATACTTGAAAGGCCTGTCCAGGCTGTTCAAACCTGACCAAGTTCAGCTTTGCAGGGTTGATGAACAACTTGTCCAAACCACAGGTGAAATGTACACACACACACACACACACACACCCTTATTCATGGCCCTCAGATTAAAACCACACTTGGGTCATTTAGATGGCAGGAAGTAACTTGCCAGCAGCCCAGGAGTCAGTGTGTGCAAGTGCCACTTATAGGTGAGCCAAGCAGTACATGATGACAACACTTCCTTTCTCATGCAGGGTATCTTTTCCTTCCGTGGTTCACAATGGGCTTTATTTTTCTACTGAATATTCTCCCCCACTTTGAAGTTAGACCTACATTCAGGGCCCACACAGGCGTTGGGAACACCTAGGCTATGAGACACATATGACCCACAAAATCACTTGGTCTGGCCCTGCCAAGGTAACCATAGGCGGGACTTGAAATTCAATAAATCTGTAGCAGGCTGATTTTTAAGTCGATCATTTTGTGTGGTCTGCAGATGCTGATATAAATATCCAAATGGCCCCTAACAGAAAATAAAAGGATCCCCATCCCTGAGAGAGGACAGCTATGGGCAAATTATTTCACCTATAGGAGCTGACTTTCCTTTGACACTTACACATAAAACGGGAATGATGAAGCCTATCTTACAGGGCTGTAGGTACTTAATAAATGTTAGCTATTGTTTGCGGCAGGTCACCACTGGGTGATGACCCCAGAGTTACCCTTCCTCTAATGGACTCTGATTTCTCCACACCCTCACTCAGCTTCTCACGATGCCTAAGGTCACTGGACCATGAGGAGAATGCCACATAGGCACAGGGGGTCAAACAAACAAACGAGGCAGTCCCAACTCTGTGACCAGCGGAGTCAAAGAAGGAAGCACCTTTTAGTGCTTGGCTTTATTTCTTCCAGGCTGACATCAATTCTCTGATACCGCCTGCCTTGGGCCAGTCTGTCCCTGGGCCACTTGCCGAGGCTTGCATTTTAATAAACTAGCACTCGCAAGTCAAACAAGACACGGAGCTCTGCAGACAGCATGCGAGGCTGCCCAAGTATGATCAGAGGGCAACTCTCCCTTCCTTATGAACATCAAGCTTAGAAGGAATACCTGTCACAGATTCTGCAAGTTGTTAATAAGTGATTAATAGAGAAATTTCTGTTTTGCTAATAATCCTATGATCTTCTCTTGCTATCTGGCATTTTGACTTTGGAATATAAATTAGTCTTGGTTTCCACAGCCATCAGGTGTTGCATACATGTGATGACCTCTCTTCTTGTCTTAAAACATAATGTTTAATGATAGCTTTTACAAAAGACTTAAAATTCCATTTTCCCTCAGGGGAAAAAAATAGCCACAACTGGAGTTTATGCAAAATTATTAGTTATGGCTAATCCTTGATAACAAATTGGATTTTTGAAATCGGTGTGATTTTTAGCACCTTGGGCTTTTCATCAGGAAGACGGTGCTTGTGGAAAATGCCTGCAGAATAATCAAACAGCAATGTCACTTGCACACTGTTAAGACAAATACAATTGAGAAGATCATTTATGCAATTTGCTGGATTGTGAAATTTGCTTTTAAAATAGGAAATATCACATAATAGGCAGAGGACAAGTGGCGATGCCTAGTGACTTGATGTTGCCCTGAGTCTGAAATTAGCATTCCCTCCTCACCTAAATTCCAATCCTCCACTTAGCACTGTAAGAATACTTACTGAATTACATTTTTAAAATATAACTGACTTGTATTTCTTGGATCATTTAGCCAGAATTAACATTACTCAGTCCCTTCTACAGGTACACATGAGTGTATTGAACATACTCACACACTCCAAAAAGTACAGTGTTCCACTAACCTAAGAAAGGAAATCAATATTCGCATAGCAAATATTTGAGTTGCTTTTATATAAGCAATTCCATTATGAAAAACAAATTCCAACCACAACAATTTCAAGGACCATAAAGGGGAAAATACCATGCTTTTCTAAATTAAGAAGGTATTCTTTTTTCTACATAAAAATCCCAAGCCAGCACTCTTTTGTGCCCAACTTTCTCCATCTTTGCATCTCATACCTAACTGAACCCCATATTGCTCTTCAGTGCTGTATTAAACATATAACATTTTCCATATTTACAAGACTTAGTCCTGATGGCTATTCCTTGTAGGAATACTAGGAAGAACTGGAGAGTGTTTTACTTTTTTGTTTTTGAAAGGGGGAGAGAGAGAGAGAGAGAGAGAGAGAGAAACAAATGAACATACTCCCAAGCACTGGTTCACTCTTCAAATGCCTGCAATGGCCGAGGCTGGAGCAAGTAGAAGCCAGTATCCAAAAACTCAATCCAGGTCCCGCCTGTGGGTGGCAAGGACCCAACTACTTGCGCTATGGCTGCTGCTCCCCAGGGTCTGCATTAACAGGAAGTTGGAATCGACAGTCACTGGGACTCCAACCCAGGTACTTCCATATTCTGTATGGGTCTTGGGAATCTTAATTGGCCTTCTACCCAGTAGGCTAAATGCCCACCCATGTTCGGGTCTCTTTAAGGTTTAGTCACAGGGCACCTGAGAGGGGTTAACTAACACAGGCAGAGAAGCAGCCGGTAGCAGATAATACAAAACCAGAGAGGAAGCAGTGAAGTACTCGTTGGTTTACAAGCATGCTTGAAGGCAAGGGGGTTACCTGATCAACTGGAACCTCCACCTGAGTATCTTCATCCTCTTGGACTTCTGCTGCCCCCCGCATTTCAGACCTCTCTGCTCCAGCCTTGAAAATGCCTTCCTCTAGTACTGGAGACAAAAACACACAGTGAAAATCAAAATCCAATTGCGACATCGTGTGGCTCCATGTTGACATTACAGCAAAACACCTGATGATGATTTTTTTTTTAATAGGTAATTCTAACAGAATTTAGATAGCCCTACCCTGCCCAACACCTGGGCCTTCAGTTTTTCTACCTGGGCACTGAGAAGAGATTCAGTGGCCAAAACAAGGCTGACCCAGCAGAACAGGTCTCTGTCCCAGGCAACGGCTCACCCCTACAGGTACCGATTTAACAGCACCACCTGAGCCAGGTACTTATACGGGAACAACTTCACAACTAACACGTCGGTTCTCCCTCCTGTCAGTGAGACAGCGATGACACGTGGGCTTTAGAATATTTCCTTTAACAATTTTCCTTTCCCGTGGGATGGCAGACACTCCATACAATGTATTGGAAGAATTTTCTCTATTCAGAACCATGCAGAAAATAATTTTACTGCAATAAAACCATAGAGCTGACTTCCACATCTTGCGTGTGTGCACACACACACACACACAATCAATGTCGCTTATTTTGCAGATTTCCACAAGGTCTTCACAACCTGTGATGCTAAATCCTTCACTATAAAATGTAATCTAAATCTCTTAAGACTAGATTAAGCTCCTTCTACTTGCTGTTTGCTGGAAAGTGAGAAATGCTGTTTTCCATATTTGAAGTAGTTTTAATGTCTCCCCTCAGCCTTCCCGTCTCCAGGCCAAGTAATCAAAGAATCACAGAACCGTTTCTCATTCCGTCTATCCATTTGCCTCGAGACAGGTTTAGTGCTGCAGCCATCCTCACAGATGTTTTCTCTGTGCAGTTTTGAAGGCTCCCAGGCACGGAGGTTGTACCTCCTTCCCTGGTAATCTATTGCAGCATCTGATTGCCCTTGCAGTTGTAGAAATTTTTTATCTTTCGTGTTAAGGCCCCCTCTATTTCTCTCATGGAAGCTTGTTTTCCAGAGCACAATTATTTAACACATTTCACATAATACTATTTCATGTTGCCAAAGTTACAAAGGAACCCTTAGTTAAATTAAAATGTCCTTTTACACTTGTGGAGGATCGATTCCATGTAAGAGTGATGTGTGCCAATGGGACAGCCTAAGATATGAATGAGCTGACGACTCAAGGTGCTTGCGGTCCTGTGAGGAGGCCGATAAATACACCATCACTGAGGTGCACGCAGGTGAGTGCCAGGACATGTAAGGGCTACTGCACAATCAAATGCACACTGAGAACGTACAACCAGGGGAGAAAGGAAGGGAAGGAGGGATGAAGGGAGGCAAAAATTAGGGCTGTCTGGCATTCATCTGTATCTTCTGAAATTACCTTAAAAGGCAACAATCACAGTCGGACGCAAGACTCAATGGATTATGGTTAGGACTTATGCACATGACTTTTTGGATGGCATTTTTGCATCCAAATACTTGCTTATTACAAAGGGATTTATATTTATATAGATACCAAAGGAATGTAGTCTTAGCACTAACATCCAATGAAATGTTTACCTATAACCAAGCAGAGCTATAAATGGTCAGATATGTTTTAGAATAACCATGTGAAGACTATGATCAGTAATAACAAATAAAATAAAACAGGAAGAGCACTGGAATGGAAAGCAGCATCCATAAGAACACAGACAGCAAAGAGACAAGTGGGAAGAGCTCAGCCCGGTGCATAGAGACAGAGAACACACGGATACAAATGTGTGGCTCAGATGCAGGGGAGGGTTTGTTCATCAGTGAACCGAGATGTCTGGGCATAGAGGGGAAAAGGAAGCATAGAAAGGAATTCATAGGAATGAACAGTGCACAAAAAAAAGGACAACAGAAAACATGCTAGGATTTAAATTACAAGTGTCAGATAAAATCAAAGGTAGAGTAGTTCTTTTTAGAGAAAAAATTTAAAATCACTTTTTATTATAAATTGTTTATATGATACATATGCATTTTAGAAAACTTGAGAAATGAATAAAATCAACAATCTCCGGACCTCATAGCCCAGCAGTAGCCACCATTAACATTGTGACAATTCTTCACCCCACTCCCAACACACACACACACACACACACACACACATTCATAAAACTGGGATCCTGCTATGTTAGCAATTTATAAACCAATTTTTACTTTAAAATCATAATGTGAGCTTTTCCTATGTCATTAAATGTTACTTAAAAATATAATAAATTGCTCCATGTGGAGATACCACACTCTAATGAAGGGAAAACAATGAATAATGGAAAATAGGAGTTTTTAAATGAAGAGGGTAGATTTTATTCTGTGGGTTGTTGGGTAAATATGAGCATGTGTTAAAACCTACTGCATTACAATCACTCTGGGAAATGCAAATTGCCAATTTTTGCGGGCTGGGTCCCTTGTAGACAGAGACCACAGAGACATGGGCTGTTGCCCTCCAAATGCACGCCCCATGCACGGGTCCTTGCTGTGCGAGAGTAGATGTGGTGCACTGCAGTGAGTCTTCTGTGAACTTTATTGAAAGGTAAGACAAAAAGCAAGTACCAGGTCAAACCTCACACACGTGGATTCCCCTCCTGTTCCATGGTCCCCATACCTGTCCCACCCTTCCCGCCCTTCCCCCAGAATTTAATTCTCCCTTCCCTCACCATCCCCGGGTGCTGAAAATCAGAAAATCAGGCCTTAAGTGAGAAAATTAAGATCACTTCACATGAAAGAATTGGCAACATGACCAAACTACAATGGGCAAGAATTTGAATGTTATAACAAGAATGTGCTTCCCTTCTGTCAATCCCATAGCTAAAAAGCAACTGAAGATGCACTCCATGGAAGAAGTCAAAAGAACAAATACTGAAAATTAAAAACACCTGCTTCCTAGGGTAGACTCCATGATAAGGTGGCAAAAGGCAAATTTCATCAAGGGCACTATGATTCAAGCATTTCAAACCTTTACCACATTCCTTTTTATTATTTCTGCTCATTTATATTTGCACAGTGAATTGGTGAGTCTAGATCAAAATACCATTATTATGTGTAACAGATATGAAGTTATTGCTATAGCAGCATCAGTCATCCCAACCACAAGTCACTAAGGAGAGGTGCCACAGAGGGAACAGGTGTTTGGCCTCCAAAGAGACACAGAAGTGGTTTTAATGCTACTCAGGATTTTCCTAAAAATAAGAATTTAGTCTTACTCCATTATCACTGACAACAGGTAAGCAACCCTTTTTTACCACAGACTTCACATCTCCTGAACTTTTGGTGTGTTAGTCATGGTTTTTCATATTCAAGACTTCTTTGCAGGTCCAGCACTGTGCTGTAGTGGGCTGAGCCTCTGCCTGTGATGCTGGAATCCCATGTGAGCGCTGGTTCAAGTCCCAGCTGCTCCTCTTCCAATCCAGCTCTCTGCTGTGGCCTGGGAAGGCAGTGGAGGATGGCCCAAGTGCTTGAGCCCCTGCATGGGAGACCTGGAGGAAACTCCTGGCTCCTGGCTTTGGAATGGCTCAGCTCTGAACGTTGCAGCTGTTTGGGGAGTGAACCAGTGGATGCAGGACTTCTCTCTCTCCCTCCCTTCTTCCCTCCCTCTCTCCTCTGTAACTCTACCTCTCAAATAAATAAGTAAAATCTTTAAAGAAAAAAAAAAGACTTCCTCAAAATAACCATTTAGTAAGCATTAGTATAATTTTCAACTGCTCATGGGATTCTTATTTGAATTTTATCAATTTTGCTTATTCTAAAATTGTACATAGTAAATCTAATAACAGAATGGATGTGCATCATAATAGTAAATTCTTCTTCTCCATACAGAAAAAAGTAGGTTCTTGGATAAAGTGATAATGGTCTGATGCCTCACCTTGAAATGTCTACCCTCAAAGAGTACCTAGTACTTACCTGTCTTGAGTCCCTGTCATACCCCCTCATTCCTCACACCTTCCCCCACTTTTTCTAATCCAGTTTCTTGCAGCACATCCCATAGGAACTTCTCTGGTCAAAACTATCTGTGATCATAATGATGTTCTCATTTACCTGGTCTATTAGCAGTTTTTAATGCAGCTGATGTGTCTCTTCCCTTCACCCTCTGCTTTTCTCTCCATTTCACTCTACTGGTTTCACCAGCATCACCAACAGTTTTTTCTAAGTGTCCTTGACAATCCACCTGCCTCTTCTGCTCAGCTACTAAGAAGTGGACCACCCTACAGCTGCATCATGGGTCTACTTCTCTATCTGTACATCAAGAACATGGTTTGAACACCATCAATATGCCAATTACTAGATAGATAGATGGACGGATGGATAGATAGATACTAAGTACATAAATAGAATCTTCAGTCCCAAACTCTTCACAGATCCTGAGACATATATATATATATATCCAATATATATATATATCTCCTATATATATATTTACATATATATATATATCTCCTATATATATCTCCAATTGCCTCCCTTGACATCTCACCTTGGACATTTAATAGTCATCTCAACCTTAACATGGCCAAAAGATTACTCTAGTTCCCCACCCTAAACCACTCATTTCCCATATTCCTCCATCTCAAGAAATGGCACCAGCACTCAATCCCAACACTGGGGCATTATCCTTATCACCTTCCTTTCTCCACTTACTATATCCAGTCCACTTTAAATCTTATCAGTTCAATCTCCTTTCTTCCAACCTATATCAAACCCATTCATCTATCTCCACTACCAACTTGGCCTTATCACTATTACTTGTTGGATGGGCTACTTACAAAAGCTTATCATTAGTCTCACTCTTCCTCTTCTCTTGCTATGCCTTAATCTGTCCTCCACACAATAGCCAAGTCAACATAGTTAATAAAAATTATTTGACTCATTCAAAACTCTCCAACATCTTTCTATCACACAAGGAATCCAAGTTCCTTACCATGAGGATGTGAGCTGGCACTTAGCCACATTTTGTATTGCTTTCCCTTTGCCCAGTGAACTCCAGTTGTACTGATTTTCATTCTGCCGATCACTCCCTC